ACCAACTCCAAGAGAGCCCAGCGGAGAAGGGCTGGTCCCTGCGAGCAGTGGGAAGTCAAAGAGAAGCAAAGCCCAGATGGATGGCTCTGATTTTTATGCTGAGTCACTCTATGACTTAGCAGGAAGGAGCAGTATCGAGAACAAAGACCAGAGCTGTCCAAGGTAGTAGCCTCACAAATCGTTACTGGGCATTTGCAAAGTGGCCAGTCCAAATGGAGATGTGCTGGACATGTAAATGTATACCAGTTTCAAAGATTTAATATGAAAAAAGAATGTGAAATATCTCATTCATGAATTTTTGCTGTATTGGGGTTAATATGTTATTAACTTCACCTGTTTCTTTTGCCTTTTTAATGTGGCGGGCATTATATTGCTATTGAACATACATTTCTTTCTTTCTTTTTTTTTTTGAGATGGAGTTTCGCTCTTGTTGCCCAGGCTGGAGTGCAATGGCGTGCCTCCCGGCTCACTGCAACCTCTGCCTCCTGGGTTCAAGCGATTCTCTTGCCTCAGCCTCCTGAGTAGCTGGGAATATGGGTGTCCACCACCACGAACAGCTAATTTTTTGTATTTTTAGTAGAGATGGGCTTTCACTATGTTGGCCAGGCTGGTCTCAAACTCTCAACCTCAGGTGATCCACCCGCCTCAGCCTCCCAAAGTGCTGGGATTACAGGCGTGAGCCACTGTGCCTGGCTCTACATTTCTATATTCTAACAGACTGTAGATTAGAAAGACAGGTTCAAATCCCACCTCCACCACTTACTCAGGGACACTTAGCAGGTGAGCCTAGCTACAGCTACCAAAGACAAGATGGGCCAAGCCATAGGGAAAGAACACAGGGCTGGAACAGGTTGGGCTGGGGTTGGCAGCATGTGTGGAAACAGACAGTTGGGAAAGTGTGAAGAGGAGAATGTCATAGAGGTGCAGCCTCTCCTGTGTGCACTGTCCCACAGGAGACAGTGAGAGAGGGCCTAGGCAGGGTGCAGAAGCAGCTGTGGCCTCTCCCAAGGCTGCCGTCACTACTGACTACATCTCAATGCTGAATCCCGGCATGTCAAGAGTTAGAAGAAGCCTGAAAGAGGATCCAATCCAGGGGCCCCAGGAAAATAGGCCCAAAGCAGGGAAATTCCCTCCATGTGCCTTCCACTGCCTCCCCAGCAGCAGCTCTGGTTAGTGTGTCCACTGAACAGAGGGATGGCATCCAAGATGCAAGTGCTGCATCCTCTTGTATGGCGCTGAGAGTTTTATTCAAGGGAGGCTTCACCCGAAAGGACTTGTTACCACACAGTTGCTCTTCTAGCCTTCCCCCCAGCCTACCTTTTGGTTAGGTTGGTTTGATTCATTCATCCATTTACACCCTGCAGCTGTGTGCTGAGAATGAGGCCATAAGCTGGGGATACAGACATAAATAAGACCCATCCCTGCCCTCCAGGACCACACAGTCTGGTCGTTTCCAAATGTGGAACTGTTCAGTCCACAGCCCCCGGCCCACAAGGTGGTGACCTTCCCCACCTTATAGCTAACTGAGGCTACCCAGTGGTGGTGGCAGGCCCAGACAGACAGCTCCTGACCAGAGCAGAGGCCTTTCCATTAGCAGAGCTGCCTCCACTGGCCCATGGAGCGGGAGGCAGCTGCGTGGAGCTGGAATGAGGTCAGGCTAGAGTCACCAAAAGTTAGGTGGACATGCCAGAGCCGAGACCCTGGCTTCAGAAAAGACACTGGGTTAAGGGATTTGTGGAAGGCCACAGGGCAAATCAGCATCAAATCCAGAACAAAAACTCAGGATTTCTTTTCTTTCTTTCTTTTTTTTTAGAACTTAGGATTTCTGACTTCAAACTTAACTCCTCCATCAGTGGCAACTAAAGGAGGTGGATGAGCACAGGGCTAGTCTGCAGCCAGGGGCAGAAGCCAGGAGCTACAATTGACTCCCTCACCTGCTGCTGCTCAGGATGCAGGGTTGGTTCTTACTGAAGAGCAACCTGCTGAGGGTCGGGGGCTCTGGGCTGAATGACCCCACATTCAGAAACCACTAGACTGTGAGGTCCTGGAGGGTAGGGATGTGTCTTATTTATGTCTGTATCTCCAGCTCGCAGCCTGGTTCTTAGCACACAGCTGCAGTGTATGAGCAAATGGATGTGCACATGAATGAACCAAACCAACCCAACTGGAAATGAGGCTGAGTGGGGGTGGTAGAAGAACATGGATGGGATGCCTTGGGATGCTTGCTTTCTTCTTTCTTGCATCTCTGAACATGCTGGGCATTGTGCAGGCAAGAGAGGAAAGCAGTGTCCAGGAAAGATGACAGACAATTAGGCAAGCAATAAGAAGAAACATGAAGGGCTGTGTGTTCCTCCTGGGCCTTGACCCCTGTGTGACCTTGACCAGATCCTTCTCCTCTCTAGGCCTTAATTTGTTTAGAGGAACTGGGGTTAGACTTAACGGTCCAAGGTTCACTTCCCACACTGACCCCCGTGACTGGCAGACATGGACGTGAACCCTATCCCGGTTGCAGAGAATCACGGCCTCACCCCACCATGGCAGTAGTGGGTATGGGGAGAGCAAGGCCAGGTAGAGGCACCCTGGCCCGAAGGAGGCAAACAGACACTCCTGGAAGCAGGGTCCCCAGAGACTGCACAGCCAGAGGTAAATGGCTGTGACAAGGAGTGAGCCAGCAGTCAATTCCATTCAATAAAACTTTGATTGTCTATGAGCCTTGTAAACAGGCAGCTCCCCTGTGGGTTGGAGGTGCTCTCTTCTTTCCTCCCTCCTTCCTGCCAGCACCTGCCCAGCCCAGCCCAGCCCTGGGCCCTGTGCCAGCTCGCAAACTTTCTCAGCCTCTGCTGCAAGGTGGGAAGCTGAGGGTTAAATGCCCGCTGGCAGGTGAGGGCCCAGGGCTTAGGGGCAGTGGAAGGGGAGGGAGCAGGAATCACTTAGCCCTCATTAGTCCAAATTAAAATCAGGAGTGAGATGACAATTACAATTTGCAGTGGACTAATTGTTTTCCCTCAGAAGCTGATCGTTTTGCAGATTGGGGAAATTAATTGTTTGAAGTCCCAGGTGGATTGGCTTTGAACCCAGCACAGGCTAGACAGGCACTGCCTCTACCTCGTCACCACCCCTCAGGGACCCATCAGCAGTGGCTTCTGCCACTACTGAAGCCACTGAGAATCCCAAAGGATTGTCAAGCAGGGAGAGACTGAGGGTCAGGAGTAAGGGTAGGGGTTCTACTAGTCTTACCCTCAGGTGGGAAGACGGGAGAACATCGGCAGAGGTAGGCTGGGAGCTGGCATCCAGGAGGAGGGGTTTGTCTGCCTGATGCCACCTGCCATCAGCTCTGTGGAGGGGTGGGTCCATGAAGACTCCTTGGACCTGCCATAATTTCCCACTTCCACTGTGCACCCAAAAGTCCCTGTAAAGTTCACTCACTCATTCAATAAACATATACAACCCACTGTGTGCCAAGTGTTGCTTCAGGAGGGCTGGGGACACAGCACTGAACAACTTAAACACAATCCCTCCAAACATGAATTTTACTTGGTGCGGCAGATGGACAATACACGTGTAAGTAGACAACAGAGTGGTGGGGGTGGGCTGGGAAAGAATAACGGACTGCAAGAAGGATGAGGCTCCAAAGACACCCGCACCCTAATTCCAGAGCTTATGGAATCTGGCACCTTCCAGGCCAGAAGGAACACTGCAGATGTAATTACGGTTATGAACTTTAAGAGAATGTCTTGGATTATCTGGGTGGGACAAATCTAGTCACATGAGTCGTTAAAGCAGCTTTCTCCAGCGGCAGGCAGAAGGGGATTCCAAGTGTGCGATGATCTGGTATGCTGTTGCTGGTTCTGAGATGTAGGAAGCAGTGCACAAGGACTGGAGGGTGCTGTCTAGGAGCTGAGGACCACCCTCAGCAGCCAGCCAGCATGGGAACAAGGGCCTCAGTCCTACAGCCACTGGAGTGAGCTCAGGAGTGGATCCTCCTCGCATCTTCAGATAGAGTCCGGCTGGCTGCCACCTTGATTTGGGCCGTTTTGAAACCTGCAGCAGAGAAAGAGGCCGAGCCAGCCCAGACAGACTTCTGGCCAACAGAGCTGTGAGATAGCAAACGTGTGTTTCTGTAAGCTGTTACGTTTGTGGTGATTTGTTATGGAAGCAATAGAAAGCTATTTCAGGAACGAAACAGGGTCACAGGAGAGTGACTTGGTGCTGTTACATTGGTGGCCTCTTTGAGGAAAGGACTGAGATGTGGATGATAAGGAAACAGAGAGTGGGGTGACCAACTTGTTCCCATTTTCCAGTTTTAGGAGTTAAGTCCTGCATTCCCCCAAAACCCCTCAGCCCCAGGCAAACCAGATGGCTGGTCACCATATGGCAGAGGGAGCAGCCTGGGCAAAGCCTTGGTGGGTGGGAGCTTTCAGGTAAATTGCCACAGAAAGCATCCCAAGGGAAGTTCTCTCAGACACAGGAGCAGGTGATGGGGGCTGCCGCAGAATCGCTCAGAAAACTCTTTTGAATGGGGACTGAGCAACTCTAGCTGAGGATAGGTGATACCTCCCAACCCTCCTTCCAGAACCTCATCCTCCTACTGTAGGGCCTAAGAATGACCAGCCTCTGCCTGCCCTGCCCCGAGGCTGCTTCCTTTCTCTCCTGGTCCAACTCCCTTCTTCCCTAGCTGGCCCCTGCCAGGGCCCAGGTGTCTCCCAGTGCCCGGGTATCTGCTGTGGCTTTCCTGAGTGGGATGCTGGTGTTCTGCCAAGCAGCACACAGCAGGGGGAATTTTTCAAGACGTCTCTAATTAGGGAGACAATAGGAGGCTGAGAAGTAGAAAAGACAAAGGTTGCAGATGGCTTCACGCCCTATCAAAACAGCCCCTATCAAAACAGCGGCTGTGAGCCTGAAGAATGCCTGAGAGGGAAAAACAGAGATGGGCCATGGGACCCCACCCCCTCGTTTCTCCCCTTGTCCCTCTCCTCTCCCCCCTGCCCCCCGCCCTCCTCCTTGCCTCTGAACCCCGGCTGCAGCCACCTTTACATTAACCCACCTGCCTCCCAGTTCAGCTGGTCACCTCCCAGCGCTGTTTAGAAGCTCAGCAAGGAGGCAGAAGAGCAAATAAGGACCTGAGTTGAAGTTTTGGCTCCTTGTCTCATTATCTGGGTGATGCCTGGCAGATTAATTGTGCTGGTTCTCAGTTTTCTCTTCCATACAATCAGAGCAATAATGCCGACTTTGCAGGGTGGTGGTAGTAAGGATTAGAGATGTCAGAAGGTGCCCCACAGCTATTTCTACTACGAGAGCTTGCACCTCCCATCCTGGGTCCTAGCCCTCTAAACCAATATTTCTCAAACTCACAGACTGCCCAAGAATCACCCAGAGAGCTTGTTAACATGCCCATCCCACTCCTCAGGGTGGAGCCCAGGCACCTGTAGATGGAACACCTTCCAAGCAGGTGATTTCAATGCAGGCAGCTGGGTCTGCCTCCCGGGAAAAGAGCTGGTCCATGGCAGTCCTGCACCTGGGTCTTCCAGAAGCCATTCCCCTACAGATGGAGGGAGCTGGCAGGGAGGAGAGGTCTCCCCTCTTCCACCAACCTACTACCTCACGTGGGGGTCTGTGCCGGGGGCAGCTTCCACATCTAAGCAAAGTGAGTTGGTCCTCTGGTCAGAGCTTCTGCAGAAGGGACTTCGGCATCCACCTCATTTTGCTTCCTTGTTTTTCAGTGGAAGAAATGGAGTCCCAGAGCAGGGAAGTGACCAGTATTAAATGGTGGAAAAGTAATTGCAGTTTTTGCCATCGAAAGTAACAGCAAAAAAAAAAAAAAAGAAAAGAAACAAACAGCAAAAACCACAATTACTTTTGCACCAGCCTAATATTAATATAAGGGCACACACTGAACTCTGGGCTTCTGATTCTCATCTGCAAGATACAAGTTCATGGCTACAGGATGGCTAGTCTCTCTCAACTCCGAAGTTCTAAGTTCCTCTAGGAGTTGGCTCCACTGGCCCCAGGTTGGGAAACTGTGAGGGAAGCTGAGGCTGATTGCCTTCTTGATGGCTAATTAACTTTTTCTTCACACCTCTCTGATTTCTGGGCCAGGACAGCTGCTCTTCCCTTGCCAATTAACGACAGGCTGACCCTTACTGAACACTTGGTATGAACTAGGAACTGTTCTAAGCACTTTATTTGTATTAACCCATGTAAACCTACAACAACCCTGTGATGCCTTTATCCTCATTTATAAACAGAAATCTAAAATACAGAGATTGGCCTAGGTGTGGTGGCTCATGCCTGTAATCCCAGTGCTCTGGGAGGCAGAAGCAGGAGGATCACTTGAGGCCAGGAGTTCAAGACCAACCTGGGCAACATAGTGGGAGCTTATCTCTACAAAAGATTCTTAAAATTAGCCCGATGTGGTGTGCGCCTGTAGTCCAAGCTACTTGGGAGGCTGAGGCAGGAGGATCACTTGAGCCCTGGAGGTCAAGGCTACGGTGACACAGGGTAGTACCACTGTACTCCAGCATGGGCAACAGAGTGAGACCCCATCTCAGAAAAAAAAGAAAAAGGAAAGAAAAACTAGTTGGGCATGGTGGCATGCACCTGTAGTCTCAGCTACTCAGGAGGCTGAGGTGGAAGGACTGCTTCAGTCTAGGAGTTCAAGGCTTCAGTGAGCCATAACTGTGCCATTGCACTCCCTCATTGGTGACAGTGCGAGACCCTGACACCCCCCCCCCCCCGCCAAAAAAAAAGGTCTAGAGATTAAGTAATCTGCCCAGGGTCACACAGCTGAAGCTCAGATTTGAATCTCGGCAGTCAGGCCCCAAAGTCTGTGTGCTTAACCACTGAGAAACACTGTCCTTGACGCCATACTTACAAGCACATGATATACTGCCAACCCAGTCACTAAGGGCTGGTGTATGCAGGACTGGATTGAGAATTCGAAGGCCCAATTGCCCGAGAAGGGGTAAGAGGAGCCTTCTGGGTACGGGAATGTTCAAGCTGTTCACTTAAGATTTATGGGTCTGAATACTGTAGACAAGTTTAATCTAAATGAAAAATTGGAAGGCTTGGGTTTGTCCCAGTTGCAGCCTATTTATTAGCTGTGTGACTATTAGCTTGTTAGGCCTTAGTTTTTCATCTGCAAATCAGAACAATTAGAATGAAAGCCTGCTTCCTTAGTTGAGAAGGAAGTTGTACAAAGTTCATTCTTTGTATAGCAGGTCCCATCCAGCTGTCTTCATTATTTTCGCATCCCCCAACCAAAAACTCTCCGCCAAACTCTCCCTGGCGGTACTAATAGCACATGTGGCTACTTGCATCCTTCCCTGGGCCAGAAGCTCTTTGATTCCATCCAACCATTCAAGTCTTCCGACTTTGTGCTCATGCAGAAGTGGCACTTAGTAGTCACATCCATCATTGCCATTAACCAGTGCGTGCTGGAACCAGCATGCACCAGTCCATGAGAGCTGACCGGGCTCCCCTCTTCCCAGCTCCAACCTCAGTAACACTACTTAGTAGGTTGAAATTGGCTATGATGGAAATACTGAAAACTATGAAAATTGGCAAACACTACAAATCAGGGCTTCCCTCCTCACACCAGCACGACACTCCTGCCGTTAACCCCAAGTGTTCCTTTCAAGTGGGCCCCAGGAGGTTTACAAGAGCTCCAGGGCTACCGGTAGCTGGGTGCTGTGGTCTGAGTGTCTTATTCTGAAAGTTTAATGTGTTCAAAAGACATTCTCCATTCTCTAATCCCTGTGGACATTCCCAGCTCCCCCAGGCCTTGGCTGAAGCTGCAGCCAGGTGAGAATGGGACACAGGTGGCTGGACCCAGCTGAGGCAAGTTCTCTGACAGTGGAACTGAGCACCCAGCTAGTGATGCTAAAACCTTTATGGCATCCCTACTTCAGGTCTCACCCAGCTTATACTCTACATTTGGTGGCCTTTTGTTTTTGTTTACTCGAGACAGGATCTTGCTCTGTCACCCAGGCTGGAGTACAGTGGCGAGATCTGGGGCCACTGCAGCCCCCATCTCCCAGGCTCAAGTGATCCTCCCACCTCAGCCTCCCGAGTAGCTGGGACTAACAGGCATGTGACATCAGCCCAGCTAATTTTTTAAAAGATGTTTTTGTTTCTTAAAGAAGGGGTCTTACTTATTTCCCAGGCTGATCTCGAAAATCTAGAACTCCTGGGCTTAAGTGATCTGCCATCCTTGGTCTCCCAAAGTGCTAGGATTATAGGCATTAGCCACCATGCCCAGCCAGGTGAGGTTTTTTCCTTTTTTTTTTTCTCCTCCTTCTGTTCTCTTCCTCTCTGTAGATCCATTCAAGCACCTCTTCCATGCATTTTCTCTGCCAGGGACTGGGAATAGATACAGGATAAACAAGATCCAGCCTCTGTCCAGAGGAAGCTCTGTACCTAGCAGGGCAGACAGGCACAAATATGACTAGCCCCGAGGACTGCCGAAAAGCAGGATAATGGTGTTCAGAGCAGCACAGTGGCCGTCACAGCTCAATGTCTTTCCTTCCCTCTATTCTTTCTCTGTCTTCTGCCCCTACTCTCTGCATCCATGTGTGACAAATATATAGTAATTGGTAGGTACAGTATGACGTTCTTATTGAAAAATGAGAAGATATAGAAAAATATGGAGAAAATTTAAACAATTCCCTCTTCTAACAGTGCTAACCAGTGTTAACGTTTTGATGCGTATCTGTTCAGGCTTCTTCTTATCATAGTAAATACTCTTACAATCTGGCTCCCCTGGGGTTCATGTCATCTTTCTTGTTTTCCACCTTGTTTTGGTAGAGTACATCTTTTTTTGAGATGCTTTTGAAAAAGAGGTAAGTTTCTTAAAAATCTGCGTGTTTGAAAATTTTCGCATGAACATTTTTGCAAATGTTTCCATGTCTTTATGGGGCCGCCATGCCTGACAGTTTGACTGAAAATATAATTTCAGATTGTAAACAACATTCCCACACGTGTTGGAAGACACCGTTACATGACCTATTTGCTTCCAGGGCTGCTGTTGAGAAGTTTGCTGCTATCCTAAAGCCTGTTTTTTCTTCCTGGCTTGCGGAATCTTCACTTCATACCTGACGTTCTGAAATGTTGTGTCTTTGTGAGGGTCTCTTTTGCATTAATTGTGCTAGGTACCTAACGGACCCTAACCACCTGGAAAGTAATCATCTTTATTGACGGAAACAATGTATTTTAAATTTCCAAGAGCTTGTTCTCTGCACCTTCCTTAAAAAATAAAAATCACCCAAATGCCTATCAACTGATAGATGAATTTTAAAAAAATGGTATATCTGCTGGGCTTGGTGCCTCACATCTGTAATCCCAGCACTTTGGGAGGCTGAGGCGGGTGCATCATCTAAGGTCAGGAGTTTGAGACCATGGCCAACATGGAGAAACTCTGTCTCTACCAAAAATATAAAAATTAGCCAGGCATGGTGATGCAGGCCTGTAATCCCAGCTACTCAGGAGGCTGAGGCAGAAGAATTGCTTGAACTCGGGAGGCAGAGGTTGCAGTGATTAGAGAAAGACATAGTACTTCAACAAGTACAGCAACACAGCGAGACTCCATCTCAAAAAAAAAAAAAAATATATATATATATATATATAGTCTATCCATACAAATGCAATGATATTCAGCTACAAAAAGGAACAAAGCAATGACACATGCTACAACCTAGACGAACGTTGAAAATATGCTAAGTGGAAGATGCCAGACACAAAGGCGATGAATTGTATGATTCCATTTATATGACACATCCAGAATAAGCAAATCTATAGAGACTAGTGATTGCCAGAGTCTGGGGGAAGGGGAGAATGAGGAATGGCTGCTGACGAGTATGGGGTTTTTGGGGTCCATAATGAGAATGTTTTAGAATTAGATAAAGGCAATGGATGTAAAACCTCGTGAATATTTTAAAAACCACCAAATTGTACACTTTCAAATGGTGAATTTTATGGTATGTGAATTACATCTCAATTTTTAATAAGGCCATGTGGTCTTGTTTTGTGGGTGTGTCCTCTCTCAGCTCTCTGAGGATGTCGATTGCGGTGGTGATGGTGGTATTTATTTCTTCTTTTGCTTCCTGCATAGTATTTCCTTTCTTTAAGTCTTTGCTTTTAAAAATACTAGACACACCTCCCTTAAAATTCTAGTAAGCCTTAGCCAATGGTTCTTTTTTTTTTTTTTGAGACTGAGTCTCACTCTGTCACTCAGGCTGGAGTGCAGTGGTGTGATCTTGGCTCACTGCAACCTCCACCTCCCGGGTTCAAGCAATTTTCCTGCCTCACTCTCCTGAGTGGCTGGGATTACAGGCATGGGCCACCACACTTATCTAATTTTTATATTTTTAGTGGACACGGGGTTTCACCATATTGGCCAAGCTGATCTCAAATTCCTGATCTTAAGTGATCTGCCTGCCTCAGCCTCCTGAAGTGTTGGGATTACAGGTGTGAGCCACTGTGCCTGGCCAATGGTTCACATTTACAGATGAGGCATTTAAAGCTGATTGGAATGGGCAGGGCTTAACTGAGAGGGAAAGAGTCTCCCAAATGTCATCATTTGTCCAACTACCAGTATTTTTGTTTTTTTTGAGACAGAGTCTCTCTCTGTCGCCAGGCACCAGGCTGGAGTACAGTGGCGTGATCTTGGCTCACTGCAACCTCCGCCTCCCGGGTTCAGGCAATTCTCCTGCCTCAGCCTCCTGAGTAGCTGGGATTGCAGACAGATGCCACCACGCCCAGCTAATTTTTTAAAAATATTTTAGTAGAGATGGGGTTTTACTATGTTGGCCAAGATGGTCTCGATCTCTTGACCTCGTGATCCACCCGTCTTGGCCTCCCAAAGTGCTGGGATTACAGACGTGAGCCACTGCGCCTGGCCAACTATCAGTATTTTTAGAGCCATCTGGAGGAAATGAGCAAAAGGCCTCCCCATTTGGCTTGGAAACTTTGAGCAAATGCTCATTTTTCCCACATACTGCCTCATCTCTATCCATAGTTGTACCCATGTCCCCAAGTCAGCACTTGTTGGGTTCAGTCTCTTTGGAAAGCGAAGTTTTCTTCAGGATGCTCTAGGGTAAAGCAGGGACAGTCACGGGGTGAAATGGGGTGAGGAAGAGATCTGAGGTATCAGTCTTCTGTGTCTGGCCCTACTCCATGTCCTGTCTTCAGATGACAACCATTTCTCCACCTCTCTCTGGTTCTATAGCAGGAATCTGCCCATTTCTCTTTGACTCCCCTCTCTGGGAGTCTCTACGTTTTTCTTTCTCTGTCAAGCCAGGTCAGTTACCTTCTCAAGTTCCAAAATTGTACTGACATTGCTTATTCCCTTTGATCTCTTCTCCCCTGCCCCTGCGGGCCTGCATCTTTTTTACTCCTTTACTCTTAGTGTGGGTTGGGGAGGTGCCACAGAGCACCACAGATGTTAGTCCATCATGTTTAACCAGAAGTCCCTCCTTGCTATTGTCATTCAAAAGTGGCAGTCACTAGCATTCTCTTTTATCATAAGGTGGATTTTGCCATTATGACCAACCTCAGTCTGACATGAAATAGTATGTATGCTGACTTGCCAGTGCTGTGAGACCAAGCAGGGAAACCTCCTGGCAAGCTGAGCGTTGAGTGACTTTGCCCTCAATAGCCATCCTCATTATAGTTCTCAGTCATACTTTACTTCGTTTTATGGAGGAAATTATGTGGTAGTCTCTAATCCATGGATTCATGAAGGGCTATGATGTATCCCTTGAGAATGTCAAGGGCCTACTATACCTCGGTCACTATGGAAACTAGTCCCCTGGTAGCAATTAGGCTTAGCAACATCCACAATGGTGCAATGCACGTGCATTCTGGCTCTGATAATGGACAGGGAGCAGTCCCTGGAGAGAGAGCCACACCTACCCTAATGACAATCTCCAGGGTCTCCGTCCAGCCTGAGCATCCTGCATGGAGCCTGGCCTGAAGTGCCCCAGCTAAGAGAAGGAGGAAGGAGAGGGTAAGCCTGTGTAGCCCACTGAAATCTGTAATCATTCAAGGGCTCCTGGAATGGCTTTCGGAACCCAGCCTCCCAAGACATCTGCCTTATGGCCACCTAAGAGAGAGAGGGTTAAGGTGGTCAACAGTTCGTGATCCACTTTTGGTTGGGGTGTGTGTGTGTGGGGTGTGTGTGTGTGTGTGTGTGTGTGTAATGGATAGTTCAAAAGTGACTTGTGTTTGGCTTTGAAATGCATGGTAGGATTTTTTTCCCCAGCGTATTTACTATGCAAATGAGTTAAGTATGTGTGAAGTGTTTAGAACAGCCTGGCTCATAGTAAGTGCCTTATAAGTATTTGCTATTATTATTACTAAAACTGTATTTAGCTTGGATCCAAATGAAAACAAATTTGCATTCCTGGACTCTTTGCAACTCACTAAACTCAACAAAAAATAGTAGATGAGACAGAGACCCAGGGACTAAGAACTCCTGGGTCACTGACCCCTCGTTACATAATAGAGAATAAGCCGCCATCCAAATATTTTGTTTATTGGTTTGCCCCATTCACTGGATTGGTGAACTCACTCCCTGCCAGTCCTACTCCTTGACACTTCACCAAGAACCAGTGAGTTGATGCCTGTAAAGGCATCTGTGAGCTGTCTCTTTCCAGAGGACCGTCAAGGCTGTTTCTCCCTGGTATAAGGGGTGACAGGCAGGCAGAGCCCCGTACCCTTGGCTTGCTCACAGGGCTCCTGCTCCTCTCCAGGTCTCTCGTACACCCTTGCTTCTCCTCCCAGCTGCCCCTCCTCCTGTTTGTAGATGTGCCTCCATCTCTCCTTGCCTTGTCTGTCATCATGCCCATCATCTCACTTTCTTTTCCTCCTCCAGGCTGGGAGTTCCTTAAGGGCAGATCTTGTTCATCTTCACAGGCTGAACACCTAGAATGGGCCCCAAACACAGAGCAGGATGATGATTTCTTGGAGGTTTTTGGACCTCTTCTATTTACTAGCAGATGACAGGGCTGCTGGTACATTACATGGCACATAAAATCATTCACTGGACATGGCACATCCCAGTAAAAAATTTGGTAGATTAAGAGACCAAAATTTGGCCAGGTGTGGCGGTTCATGTGCTTTGGGAGGCTGAGGCAGGAGGATTAACTGAGGTCGGGAGTTTGAGACCAGCCTGACCAACATGCCTACTAAAAATACAAAAAATTAGCCAGGTATGGTGGCACGTGCCTGTAATCCCAGCTACTCAGGAGGCTGAGGCAGGAGAATTGCTTGTACCTGAGAGGCGAAGGCTTAGGTGAGCGGAGATCTTGCCACTGCACTCTGGCCTGGGTGACAAGAGCGCAGGACTCTGTCCCCCACCTAAAAAAATAAATACATAAATAATAAATATACAAAATTGGGCATGGTGGCACATGCCTATAATTCCAGCCACTCGCGAGGCTGAGGCAGGACAATTGCTTGAACCTAGGAGGTGGAGGTTGCAGTGAGGTAAGATGGCACCATTGCACTATAGCCTGGGTGATAAGAGCGAAACTCCGTCTCAAAAAAAAAAAAGAGAGACCAAAATTTGGTAGGGGATATCCATGTTGACGAGGAAATTTTTGACTGGGATGTGCTATGTCCAGTGAATGATTTTATGTGTTGTGTAATATACTAGCCCTGTCATCTGCTAGTAAATAGCAGAGGTCCAAAATATTTTTTTCCTTTTTGGAATGACAAATCCCCTTTCTGTGTTGCCTTGCTTCTGAGGCACCTGCCTTGTGTCCTCCAACTTGCCCTTCTCCTCCGCCTTACACACTGTCTCTCTCACTTCATCTTAGAGCCTCTGGGGCTGCTCCTCTGCCTGGCTGTGCGTGCGAAGGAGGTGGAGTTTCCCAGCCTCGGGAAAGCCCTTCTGACATGAGTGGCAGGGAGAGGCCTAAATAGGTTGCACAGCTCAGCATGTCAGGACTGATACCTCCTGATGAGAAGCAGGCTTGTTCTGTGCAATTTCCATCTCATTTGTCTTTTCATTTGTAGCTTAAATTGGCCAATTTCTTCTGGAATGTGCCTGGACTCTCTGGCAAGCCATATACTACAAATGAGTGTCCCAGTAGCTGTCTACAGAGGGACTGGCAGGGGAGTGAGCCCAGGTCCCCTACAGCAGCATTGGTGATGGCTCCTGGGCCTGTGGAGGCACTAATACTTGGAGGATGGCAGCTGAATGTGATCTTCACAAGGCCTGGAGGGGAGGATGGAGGAAACTGCAATGAGAGGGACATAGGGCTAGATCCTGGAAAATTTAGTTGATTGATTGATTTTTTTCTCTCTCTCTATCAGAAGTGGGTAAGGTACATGAGATGAAAAAGGAGTTGTTGGCATTTTTTTTTTTTTTTTTTGAGACAGAGTCTTGCTCTCTTGTAAGTCTGGAGTGCAGTGGCATGATCCAGGCTCACTGCAACCTCCAACTCCTGGATTCAAGTAATTCTCCTGGCTCAGCCTTCCAAATATCTGGGATTACAGGCATGTGCCACCACACCCAGCTAATTTTTGTATTTTTAGTAGAGACAGGGTTTCACCGTGTTGGTCAGGATGGTCTCGATCTCCTGACCTCGTGATCCGCCCACCTTGGCCTCCCAAAGTGTTGGGATTACAGGCGTGAGCCACCGCACCCAGCCATGCCACTATGCTCAGCCAGAAGAGGAGCTGTTTGCACTTTGAAGAGTGGGCAGCAGTGATATAATGTGGAGCAAAAGAAGAAAAATTCTCCACTCACATGACGTTCAGAAACAGGCTAGTTTACATTGCTAGAACTCTGTGTGTAAGAGAGCCTTTTAGGGAGCTGGAAATGTTCTACTTGTTCTATATCTTTTTTTTTTGAGTTGGAGTTTCGCTCTTGTTACCCAGGCTGGAGTGCAATGGTGCGATCTCGGCTCACCGCAACCTCCGCCTCCCGGGTTCAAGCAATCTCCTGCCTCAGCCTCCCGAGTAGCTGGACTACAGGCGTGCACCACCATGCCCAGCTAATTTTTGAATTTTTAGTAGAGACGGGGTTTCACCTTGTTGACCAGGATGGTCTCAATCTCTTGACCTCGTGATCCACCTGTCTTGGCCTCCCAAAGTGCTGGGATTATAGGCGTGAGCCACCACGCCTGGCCTACATACTTTATATCTTGATTCGGGAGTGGTAATATGGGGATACTGTATGCCCCAATATACAAACTCAAGTTGCCCACATGATTTGTTTGCTTGCCTCTATGAGTTCTGCCTCAATGAAAACGGGAGGAAAATTCACACCAATGGTTTTCAAACTTTCCTGTACATAAGAATCCTATGGGAGCTTATCTACAATGCAGATTTCTGGCCAGCCTGGAATCTATTTAGTTGGTCTGAAGTGCTGTCTGAGAACCTGCATCTCAGGACCCCACATTCCCAAGGGTGATCTTGAGGCAGGTGTTCCACACCACAGACCAGAAAAGACCACATAGGGGCTTGAACATCTGCCCAGTGAGACGGCCTAAGCACCATCCTGCTGGGAGCCATCAGGGGCAGCTGGGTGGCTGAGGGCTCCCAGTTGCCCTTGGCAGGGAAGGTTAGAGGTTGGCCACACTGCAGCACAGAGAAACTGTGGTCAGGATGGCAAAAGCGGTAGCGGGAAATGAGGGGCTGCTCTCTGGGCGAAGAAGGATCAGGACAGGGAGTGGATCCTCTCAACAGGGAGGAGAATCTCTCTGAGCAAAGAATGCTCTCCTGCATGCCTGCACCCTGGGCACCCTGCCCCAGGATGGCTGGGCAAACCTCATGGAGCAGCCTTGGCTTAGGAAGGGTAGCCACTGCAGAAAGCTGGCCCCCAGCAGAGATGGAGTTTCACCGAAATGGCCTGATCCCTCTGCAGGGTCTGGAGACTAGATGTGATCAGTTCTGTGTCCTCAGCAGGCACCTTCTGTTCAACAGGAAGAAGGAACCCAAGACTGAAGACCCACAGCTGAAGGCGAGACCTTGGGAGGGTATAGACAAAGTGGCACTTCCATAGATAAATGCCAGGATAGTCCAAGCATCTGAAAATGTGGGCAAATGATGACTTGAGCTGTCTTTGAGTTGGGGGCCTGGGAGGACTACCATATAGTGGGAGGGAGCTACATACAGAGTGTGGGGAAAGTGCGGGGAGCATCTACCATATGCCAGACCCTTTACAAACACGAGCCCATGTAATCCTCCAGTAATTCTCTGACATAATTTACTTATGTCAACTTTACGGATGATGAAACTAAGACTAAGAGAAGTTCACCAACTTGTCCAAGGCCACAACTCACAGTGGAATCTCAACTTGGCTCCATATGACTCGAATCCCACGATCTTTCCATGTTCCCTGCTACCTCTTCCTCTCAGCCTCCCACAGACATTTCTGAACTTGCAAAATGCTTTCTCGCACATTATCTTATTTGATTTTCACAAACATGTGTGAGTTAGGTATAAGTTCTGTTCTATGGATGGACAACTGATCTTCAGGTAAAGAACAACTTGGCTGGGCACAGTGGCTCACGCCTGTAATCCCAGCACTTTGGGAGGACGAGGTGGATGGATCACCTGAGGTCTGGAGTTCAAGACCAGCCTGGCCAATATGGGGGAACCCCAGCTCTACTAAAAATACAAAAAATTAGTTGGGCATGGTATCGGGCACCTGTAATCCCAGTTACTCAGGAGGCTGAGGCAGTAGAATTGCTTGAACCTGGGGAGGTTACAGTGAACTGCCTGGGCAACAAGAGCAAAACTCTGTCTCAAAAAAACACAAACAAAAAAAAAACAACAAAACACACACACACACACACAAACTTGTCCAAGCCCAAACAGCTGCTAAGTATCTGTGAACTGGGGCCTAAATCCACATTTGATGACTAAATTTTCCAAAATCTCTTATCTGGCCACTTGAAAACATACTGTAGCTCTGTCATAAACACGGGAGAATTTGAGGATGTCCCTCCCTACTTACCGTCTGGCTTCATAATCATTAGAAACTGGTTTAACTAAACTCCTTTCTGTTCTCAGGATGACTCAGAGATGGAAAAAAAAAAAGGCCTCAGAAGGGAAATGGAGGCCCAGAAAGCTTTGGTGAGCAGCTCAAGGTTACACCAGACATGGAGACCAGAACTCAAGTTTCCTCAAATAGTTCATTTCCAGAGGCCTTTTAGGCTACTTCTATCTTTTGCCCTCTGTCTCAGGGGCTCTGCTCTCCATCCCCCATTTGGACCATGATCTGATGCCAATGGCACAAAGGAAGCATCATCTGATGCTGGGCAGAAGGGCAGGGCAGTGGCCCCTGGGAGTTTTCAGGGCTCCTCTGGCAGAAAGTACCTGGAGGCATCAGCACATGGACCTGGAACATATCAGCAAGGGTCCAGGTAGAAACAGGCATAAGCCATACAGGATCACTGCCTGGTACTCTCCATGAGAAACTCTCCCAGCCATTCCGCTCAGTTGACTTAGCCAGGAAGGAGTCAACACACAACATATGAGGAGTACACTGAGTAGGAAGCTACGTTCTGGGGTGACCTGTGGGTCTCTGGGTCCACTTAATGCACCAAGTCTTCAAATAGTGGCAGCCATCCCAGGCTCTCCTGTCTGCTTGTACATGCACATGGGGATCCTTCACTTGGGGGCTTCCCCCCAGCAAACACTTTTAGCCCATCCTGGTTTCTCCCCACTGCTGTCTCTACCCTGGGAAATGCAACCCACGTTGCCCAAGTCAGACCTAATTAGACCAGCAAATCGGTGGCACTCAAGTCATCACAGCACACTCCAAGCACAAGAGCAAATGCAGTGTGGGTTATCCTGTGAGCTGCTTGTTGTGTCTGTTTGTGTTTCCTCGGATTATCCATTCTCCGCTCCCTGACTTCCATCACCTTGCTAATGGAGAGGCAGGATGCAGTCCCCCACAGGCCAGCATTCATCTTCCCAGCCTGACCCTCTCCGGGGCTATTACGCTGCTGTCGCAAGATTGAGGAGGGGAGAAAAATGAAAACAGTGCGTAGGGAGCAATGGAGGGCAAATGGGACTCTTTTAGAACCGGATCCATTGATATGTCAGGCCAAGGAGAAATGACCACAAGCTCGGAGAAGTGGAGAGCTCCCCGAGACAGCAAAGCCAGGTGAGTGGGCTTCTCCACTGGGCTGTGCACAGGAAGAGGCCAGGCTGGCGAGGGTAGGAGGGTGTCTTTCTGCTGAAGGCTGGGCAGCCTAGGCCTCACAAAATGAGGCAAAGGTTACTGAGGTCGTTGCTGCTCCTGCCTCTATTAAAAAATTAGAAACCCTCCCCACCCAGCTCCGTTCCTCTCTGCCCAAAGCATTGCAGAAGAAAATCCGGAAGCTGCCAGACCAGCCCTATTATGCACTCATGATTCCAGCCTCAACAATCCTCTCTGCAGCAATCCCTTTATTCCTCTCCTGCAGCTGCCCCGGCACCTCTGCACAGTCCCTTTCTGAATCTGCCCCTCACCGTGCTCCCCATCTGCACCCCGTCCTCGGAACAGATTGCCTTGCCTGAGCTCCTGAGACCAATGGAGATGGAGATGGTGATGTGACCCCCCTTTGCCCTCCATCACTGTGCCTCCCACACCCCAGCACAGCTCGCTCATTCTCTCTCCCTTCACTCTGACTTAAGGGAAGAAGAATTTAAAAACCAACCTCGTCCCTTCCCACCTCCTCAGGAAACTCACTCATTTGCTTACCCTCTCTCCACCTTTAAAAATAACAATAAAAATCCCCCTTTTCACCTGTGATTCCTTCTAAGCACAGACCCTTCTTGTGAAGCTCCTGTGAGTTAATTTCAATTTCACAGCTCTTCTCAATCCAACAGCATTTTTGCAGGTTTCAGGCTTGGGGAGCTCTTGATGGGATCATCTACCACACCAGAAACTTCCTTCTTGGAACTCTCTCCCCGTCTTCTGTGCCTGCCTTGTGCCCATTCTCCCTCTGGGGTCAGTCCTCTGCCCGCCAGCAGCCCATCCTCCACTCCCAGTTGCAGTCCCTCTTCATGGCCTCTTCTGGTCTCTCATTACACTCTGCAGTAGTCTGGTGGTCAGCTCTTTAATCAAATCCCGTTCAGTTCCCTAAAGTACCAGAGTTCCCCATCAGTCTTTAGAATGGTGTCCTAAATCACACACGTCACCCCCTCTACCCTGATAGTGGCCTCACTTCCTCTCCAGTCCATCCTCCCCAACAGTCCATTCTGTCTCTGCAGTTGAGGTTCCATTCTCTCTAGGAAGATGATGCTTCAACTCTTCCTTTGAATTGCCCCTAACTTGGATCAGAGATGAATATGGAAGAAAAAAATGTTTTAAATAATTGCCCTTAACAGCACAGTGATCGTGCATTCCCAGGGGTCTGAGGGCACAATCCCACATGGCCCCACCAAAAGGCAAAAACTACTTTAAAGTCTCATTTTTCATTTTCATTTTTTTGGAGACAAGTTCTCCTTCTGTCACCCAGGCTGGTCTTGAACTCCTGGGCTTTAAGTGATCCTCCCACCTCCGCCTTCCAAAGTACTTGGATTACAGGTGTGAACACCCCCACAGCCAGCATTTAAAAGCTTTGGGGGGTGAGTCAACATCATTAGCAGTTCCTTGATGGCAAGGCCCACAGTTTTACCCTTTTTATTTGTCCGTCCCACCTGTGGCCCATGGTAAGGCTTTGACTGGTCAAAACCATGGATTTCCCTTGAGGCCACAGGACACTCTCTGTGAAAGGCCCACCCTGGAGTCCCCACTTATCTCCAATGTCCCTGGAGTCTGAGGTTGGCTGTCTCGTACCTCACTCTCCAAATAGAGGGAGAGCGGGAGCTGCTCGGGCAAGCCCATCTCCTGGGCACTGTGCCCAGGACAGAGCCTAGTGTAACTTGTGTCCTTTCCAATCACTTAATCACATTTGGCTCTTCACACCTGAGGTTGAGGACTTCCAACAGCTCCACACATCCTCAGCAATTAAACCTCCTAAGGCCCCCGCTGAGTGAAAATAACTCGCCGTTTCCACAAGCAAAAACAGCCCGGTAGACTTTTCAGCTTAGCATGGACACTTTGGGGACCCAACCAATTGTTTCCGCAGACTGTGTCGGCGCAGCCTGACCCAGCACCTGCTGGGTGGTACGGGAAGAAGCAGGAGTCGGAAGAGTTGCTTTGCATTTGATAAAATGAGCAACCTGCAAATTAGATGCAAAATACTATGAAAAGATGGTGTATATTAATTTGGAACCAAAAGCTCTGGGCATTTTAGGCAATAAAATGCCAGCCCTGTAGTGATCATATTTACTGCCTCAATTTTCCTTTCCTGATATTCTAAGTAAAATGGAAAGTGTAGGCTATGGAGTGGGACATATTCCTCTCCTGTAAATGTCTAGGCATAGGAATAAGTTGGTCATAATACTAGCTATATAAATATAAATGCCGTCTCCTCCATATCCTCACTGACAAACATTTGTTAGCACCTACTATGTGTAAAACACCATGCTAGGTGCTAAGTGAATTGTGTAAAGTACCCTCATTCAGTTGAGCTCCTACAATAAATGTCTATTAGGTGCTTATTGCTAAACACTTATTAAATGCCACTTACTAGTCATGTGACCCTGGGCCAGTTAGCTTTCTCATTTGCAAAACGAGGTAATGCCAGTGTCCTTCAGTGGGTGGATGGTTAAATAATTGTGGCACATCCCTATCATGGAATACTGCAGAGTGACAAAAAAGAGCACATAACTACTGATATAGGCAACTACATCAGTAGATAGTTCATGCGAGAACCTCATGGCAATTATGCTGAATACAAGAAAAGCCTCCAGGCATGGTGGCTCACACCTGTAATCCCAGCACTTTGGGAGACTGATGTGGGAGGATCACTGCAGGTCAGGAGTTTGAGACCAGCCTGGCCGACATGATAAAACACTGTCTCTTCAAAAACACAAAAAAGCTAGCCAGACATGGTGGTGCGCACCTGTAATCCCAGCTACTCGGGAGGCTGAGGCAGGCGAATTGCTTGAACCTGGGAGGCGGAGGTTGCAGTGAGCCCAGATCGTGCCACTTCACTCCAGCCTGGACGCCAGAGTGAAACTCCATCGCAAAAGAAAAAAAAAAAAAAAAAAAAAAAAAAACAGCCAACAGCAAAAAATTATAGACTCAATGTTCCCATTTATGTAACAACTGTGAAACAACATAATTATAGAGATGAGGAATAGCTGAGTGGCTGACAGGGTGCGATGGGGCAGCACGAGGGAGTCCTGTGATGGAGTGGCTAAGTAGCTTGATTGTGGTGAATTTACACAAAACCATGCACACACAAAGGAGTGCATGTGTCACTGGTGAAATTCAGATAAACTCTGTGGGTTATACCAACGTCAATTTCCTTGTTTTGACACTACACTATAATTATGCAAGATGCTGGTGCTGGGGGATGCTGGGTGAAGGGTACTGTGGACTTCCCTGTACATTTCTTTGCATCTCCAGTTAATCCATGCTTTTTAAAAAACAGTTAAATTTAAAAAATAGGGTACAGAACATATGCAGTAATATGGTTATTTTGAGGATTCTACGAGTTAATATAAAGCACTTAAATAGCATCTAGTACACAGCAAACCTTCAATATATGTTGTTGTGATTTTATTACTACTGCATGCGGGACACTGGGAGTGCCCATATAAATAGCTCATAGTCTCTGTTTTTGAGGAGTTGCTAATCTAGCAGAAGAGAAAGACCCAGCAAAGAGAGACTTTTAATAGAATGTGCTGAATATGCTCAGTTCATGGGAGGAGTTCTCAGGGCTTTAGGGAGGGTTTCCTGGAAAAGATGCCACTAGAGCTGAGTATTGAAGTCTGGTAAGAGTTGGCCAGGAGAGGAGACTATGATGGGCACCCAGGCAGAAGGAACGGTCTGGGCAAAGCTCAGAGGTGTGAAGCAGCATGGGATGGCTGAGCAACTCGGGGCAACTGGTTTAACTTGGGCATCTGGGAGGCATGAGGAGTGGGGAAGAGGCTGGCAAAGTAGGCAGAAGCCACGCCAGGGAGGGCATGCATGTCTCAAGAGCTCGCACGTTATCCTCCCAGAGCCTGGAGTGGGGAGCCACTGTCTTCCATCAGCTTTGACCATCCTCATTCCTCACTCTGTGGACTCTCTGGGCACTCCTGTTCCAGAGTACTCCATTCCTGGCACGGAATAATCCTCATAGACCTATGAAGATCTGAGAAAAGCAAGAGGTCAGTGCTGGCCCCACCAAACCAACTTGGTCTGCTCCAAAGCAAACTGCGCATGACAATCCAAACCCACCTTCTTCCCAGCCCCTGCGGGTGGTGGCGTTTGTTTGTGGTGCCACTCCTCCTTCCAACACTGTGGATAATTTGAACTTGCAGCAGCATCTTTTCTATAAAGCATAGATATGCAGCAGTAGAGAGAGCATGGAAGGGTAAGCACGGTGGCTCACGCCTGTAATCCCAGCACTTTGGGAGGCTGAGGCAGGAGGATAATTTGAGGTCAGGAGTTCAAGACCAGCCTGGCCAACATGGTGAAACCCCATCTCTACTAAAAATACAGTTTAGCCGGGCATGGTGGTGCATGCCTGTGGACCCAGCTACTTGGGAGGCTGAGACAGGAGAATTGCTTGAACCTGGGAGGCAGAGGTTGCAGTGAGCCAAGATTGCACCATTGCACTCCAGCCTGGGTGACAGAGACTCTGTCTCAAAAAAAAAGCATGGAAGTGGGGCCTGAGTACCAGGCTCAAATCTAGCTCTTCACTGATCAGCCATGTGACTGTGGGCAAGTGTGCTTGCCTCTCTGGGCTGCAGTGTGCTTCACTGTGAAACAGGTGATCGTAACACACATCCCAGCTTCCTCGTGGGTATGGCTCTAAGGAAAAAGAAAAAAATCAAAAGCCATAATGCATGTGAAAGAGTTTTGTAGGTTGTAAATAGTTTTTCTTCTTGTTTTTGAGACAGGGTCTCACTTTGTTGCCCAGGCTGGAGTGCAGTGGTGCTATCCTAGCTTTCTGCGGCCTTGACCTCCAGGGCTCAAGCGAACTTCCTGTCTCAGTCTCCCAAGTAGCTGGAACTACAGGCACCAGCCACCATACCTGGCTAATTTTTTTTTTTTTTTTTTTTGAGACGGATTCTCACTCTGTTGCCCAGGCTGGAGTGCTGGAGTTCAGGCAATTTTCCTGCCTCAACCTCTTGAGTAGCTGGGATTACAGGAACATGCCACCATGCCCAGCTACTTTTTGTATTTTTAATAGAGATGGGGTTTCACCATGTTGGCCAGGCTGGTCTTGAACTCCTGACCTCGTGATCCACCAGCCTTGGCCTCTCAAAGTGCTGGGATTACAGGCATAAGCCACCTCATCCAGCCTAATTTTTAAATCTTTTGTAGAGACAGAGTCTCACTATGTTGTCCAGGTTGGTCCTGCACTCCCAGCCTCAAGTCATCCTACTGCCTCAGAGTTTTGGTTTATAGGCATGGGACACTGTGCCTGGCTGTGAATAGCTTTTCACATGTGAAAGATTAATGCTATTGTTTCTGAAAAATCTATTGGTGGGGAGCAGCCTACACAGGAAACTCAAAGTGAATGACTTTGGAATCTTTGGTTGGGGAAAGACAGGGAAGGGAGGGGAGCAGGAGCATGACCTTCTGGTCACACACAAGGAATAGCTTTCCCTTTGGACATTTTCATGGATCCTTTTTGTATTTAAGGGCGTCTCATGGACGAATTCACTCTCCCAAGCTTTTCTGGATGTCAAATCTGTGTCAGGCACCAATGATACAATAATACAACAGATAGGGTCTCTACCCTCACTGGGTCACAGCCTGGTGGCAGAGATGGACATTTTTCTAATAAGCACCTAACTGTATAACTAGGCATCATCATGCGTGTTATGAAGAAAGCATACAGGACATTGAGAGTGTTTAACAGCGGCCTGGTAAAAGTCTGAAGGTACCGGGATGCTCTTCTAAGGAAGGGCTACTTGAGCTGAGATCTGAAGCATAACTAGTATTTAGGGAGAAGTATGGAATGGGAAGAGTGATTAAGGGTCAGGAAATAGCACATGTGAAGGCCGTGAGAGCAAACGGGGCTCAGCAGTCAAAGAACTGAAAGAGGCCAAGGTGCAGGGTACAGAGTGCAGAGCGTGAGGGAGGAGCATGGGGATGCCACAGTGCAGGCACGGGTCAGATGCCACAGGGCCCAGCCCACTGGGCATCCCAAAGAGCCCAGGAATCACTTAAGAGTTTTGAGAGTATGACAGAATGTGACTAGGTCAGATTTGTGTCCTTCAAAGGTCATTCCAGCAGCAATTCAGAGACCCAATTGCTAACGCCAGGGAACATATTTTAGTTCTCAGAAGCATTTCCACTCTATTTTTTTTTTTTTTTGACACTTTCTTCTCCCTTGGCTTCTCTGACAATTGGAGGTGCAAGAGTGGATACAGCCATACCAATGAGAAGGTTATCCCAGCAGCCTGGGTAAGAGGCAAAGTCAGCCTGAACTAGAGTGGAGGCTGTGGAGATGGGGGGGGAGTGGAGTGGATGGACCCAGGTGCTGTTTAGGAGGTGAACAGGGCCTGGGTGAGGGGCTGGATGTAAGGTGGAGGAGAAAAGGGAAGAGCTGACAGTGACGCCCAGTTGATGGCATGCGGAACTGAGGTTTGAGGTGACGCCATTCACAACATAGGCAATGCTGGGGGAGGATCAGGCAGCGGGTGAGAAGGCTGTGGGAGATACAGCAGGAGAATCACGACTCTGGCTTTCAGTATGTCCAAGTCTGAGGTTTCTGGAGGCATCAGTCATCTAGGCAGGTGAATAGAAGAATATGAGGCTCAGAAGAAAAGAGACCAACTAGGGAGCTGGGTGTTGTCTGAATGTGGACGACAGAAGCCATTCGTGTGGCTGAGATGGCCCAGGGACAGAGTACACAATCAGAAGAGACTACCTGGAGCCAGACCATAAGGAACACCAACATTTAAAAATCAAGAAGGGAAGGATGAGTCAGCAAAGACGACTCAGGAGCACCAGAGAAGCCAAGCACGTGGGGTCAGGGAAGCCAAGGGAAAAGAAAGTGTCAAAAAAAAGGAGTGAAAAATGCTTCTGAGAACTAAAAAATGTTCCCTGGCTTTAGCAATCTGGAGAGCTGCTTCAGCAGAGTGATGGGGGAGGAAGCCAGACTGAAGCCGGGCTGGGGAAGGAGTGGGTGGCGCAGAGATGGAGAATGCTGCTGCAGCCAACCCTTTCAGACATTTGGCTTGTACGGAGAAGAGAGACAGTGTGGTGGCAGCAAGCGGAGTGGGGCTTCAGGAAGGTTTCTCTTGTTGTTTTGTTTGCTGGAGACATGAGAAACTTGAGTGTGGTGAGAAGGCTGTTTCTGAGAAAGCAGAGGAGAGGATCTAGAACATGGGTGGTAGAAGACCTGGTCTGTGATGGCCACATGAGCCTGTGCAGACACAGGAGGGATGGAGGAGAGGACTGGCCCGGAGGCAGGTAGTTTGGGGGTTTGGTGGGGACAAGCTGGGGAGTTCTTCTGGGTGACTTCTCTCTCTGTGTGAAGTGGGAGGTGAGGTCCTCAGCTGAGTATGAGGGTGGAGGTGGAGGTTTGGGAGGAAGGTGTGAAATAGTTGTTGTGGAGAGTGAGGGAGAGAGAACCACAGGAACGTGGTGGGAACACCAGGCACTTTTGAAGAGCAAGTTGGGTTGGTGGTGGTGAGTCTGTTGTGTGTGTGTGTGTGTGTGTGTGTGTGTGTGTCTCAGCAGGGCCCAGATTCCTGAATGCAGGTAGAAAGACGCAGATAGAGCAATTAATACAGAACTGGGACTTGGCCAAACTGAGCCAATAAAAAGACAGAGGCTCAAGAGAGTTTAGGATATTGGCAGGATTCTTAAAATGATGGCCCATGGACTCTATCTGGACTCAGAGAAGAGAAGGCAGAGGAAGATAATGCATGGCAAAAAAAGCAGAGGTGCCAATGGAGCAAAGGTCCCAAAGAGGTTAAGGAGTGGGGATGTCACACAACCTCCCCCAGCTGCTGAATTTGACTGGCTAAATAAAAAAGTGGTGGTATGGGAGTCCTTGGACAAGCAAGCTGGGAGACTAGAAGGTGGCAACCAGAAAGCTGGGTACTCTGCGAGGTAATTTCCAGGGGATGGGAAGATACAGAGCTTGCAAGTGAGTGGCTGAGTTAGGTGAGCCCATGAAGTGACTGATGGGTCTGGGGTAGAAGAAGCTGTCCATGTAGTCACTAATCTCACCCAGGATGATGGACAGACACAGCCTCGGAAAGGCAGAGGCTCTATGCAGACATGTCAAAGGCTTCCCTGAATGAAGAGGATGGCTCTTGAGGATAAAGATGGGTGTGGGGGATGTTGCCTTATTTTGCAAGGTTTGGAGAATAATGGTGTCTTAGAGACGTTACATTCTCTTGCAGATGAAGTAGGCCCTCCAGGGTGAAAAATCAGGAAAAACAGTGGAAGAAGGAGTCTTGAGAAGAGGTAGTAGATATAACACAAAGCCAGAAGTTAGGATCTTTCTGTCTAGTCCCAAGGACACTAATATGTTATGTGATCTCAAGTCCTTTCCCCTATCCATCACATTGTTGCTGTTTATTTAGGTGATTAAAAGATGACTTTTAAATTAAAAGATGACCCCTCCCCAAGGCTCATTGATAAAAATAGGTTGGGAGAACCGGCTAAGGTAGAGCTTCCCAAGTAGTGTTAGGGAGCAACAAACGGGTACAGGTGTGCTGAGATCGTGACCCCTTAGCTCTTGGGTGAACTGGGGTCCCTGAGCCATTGTCACTGTGTTTTTGTGCTATAATGTGAATGAGGACGGTGAGGAAACAATGGGACAGACACTCTCCAGGGCTGCAGCTATCTCTGACGTTCTGTTTGCTCGTCTCTGTCTCGCCGTCTTGGAGGAGGCTGCAGGGAGGCTGATAGAAGAACAGACAGACTCCTGCTGCAGGCAAAAGTCCATCTGCTGGCAGAGATGGAAGCCAAGTTTCCTAGCTCCCTCTCGCTCTCCCCCCTCTCCCAGCACTAGCTGAGGGAGCTGTGATCTGCTCAGATGCCCAGGTGAGAGCAGGAGCACCTTGCTCCTCTTCCAGCTGATAGTTTGGGTGGTCACCAGCCCCCTCAAGCTTCAGCAGCAGCTTGTGAAAGTGAAGGAGCGACCACCCACTAGTTCCATCCATCATCCACTTCATCCAGCTCTAAAAACAGACTCACCATTTCTGAGAAGCCGGGCAGCGTGTCTCACTGCACACCACCCAGACAGAGCCTTCACAATGCAGATCTTTCTCTTAGGGCCAGCCACTTCTCAGAAATCCATACAAGATCCACCTACATGGTTGACCGAGGACCACCCCCTCTCTGCTACTAGCCCTCTTA